TTTCTGTTGCCTCATTAAAATTGAGGCTTTCCTTGATTTTTGGTATGACAAGTGATTTTTTTATTGCATCCTGGACATAGTAGGTATTATATTCTGGATCTTATGTAAATCTTGTATTTTAGCAGCCTTCCCCTTTGACACCTTGCTGGTGGGGAGAGGGAGCACATTTCTTTTTACTACTGGGTTGAGTGGGAGGGCCGTGCTCCCCACTCAGACTCTGCTGACCTGGGAAGAGATGCCTCTTCCCTGCTGGTGAGGTGTACATATTCAGCTGCCACCTACACACAGGTATCCAAAGGGTGCTTTGTTACCATCAGCAGGGATGGAAGTCTAGATGCTCCACTCAGCTTCTGCTGACACCACAAGGAAGGAGAATGGTGCCTCCTTCGTGCTAGATGGGGTGGAAATTGAGGCTTCTCATTCTGCTGACTGCAATTTTTGCCATTCTATTTTGCTGGAGTAATGGGAATATTGCCCAGAGTATTTCTATCCCTCTAGGCCACCACTTTGCCTATCCTTCGGCTAATGAAAGCATTTTTTTGGAGGGCCTTTTAAAAAAATCTGTCATACAATTTTTTAATCAGCTTGCAATTTCCAAAGTAAAACTGCCGGAGTTTTGAGTGAGACTGAATGGAATCTATAGATCAAAATGCAGTGGATCTATGTAATTGTGAGTCTTTCAGTCTTTGAAAATCATATGCCTCCATTCATTTAGGTTTTCTTTAATTGTTTTGATATTTAGTAGCATTCAGCATAGAAGTCTTGCACATCTTTCATTAGAATTCATTTATTTTGGATATTGATATAAATGCTATCATTCCAGATGTTTTATTCTTTATTCTTTTTCAATTGTTTTTTCCCCAAAATTTATTTTTTATGTATCATATTCAAGTACTTATTAATTCTGTAGATATACTATGTCAATAGTAATCAAAATAAAACTGTAGTAACGATAGGTGGGTAAATTTGTCAATAGGATATAACAGTCTTAAATGTTTATGTGCCTAATAACAGAACTTCAAAATACATGAAGCAAAAATCGAAGAACTACAAGGAGAAATAAACAATTGCGCAATTACAGTGTGAGATGTCAATATATTCCTTTTTCAATACTTGATAGAACAAGTAGGCAGAAAATCAGAAGAGAAATAGTAGACTTAAACAACTCTATCAAGAAACTTTATCTAATTGACAATTATAGAACAATCTACCCAACATTCTTTTCAAGTGGACATAGAGCATTTACCAAGATAAACCATATTCTGGGCCATAAAACAAGTCTCAACAAATTCAAAAGCATTTGAGTCATACAAAATATTTTCTTCAACCACATGCTAGTAAATTAGAAATAAAAAATGGAAAGAAATGTGGAACACCCCCAAATATTTGGAAATTAAATCACATATTTCTAATTCTACTATGATTTTGATAGGCAAGGAGGTCCTCAGCTGTAAATTAGGTCACAGTGTATCCTAAGTACCTGGAATGCAAGAGAATAACTGTAAAAACTTGGTTTTCCAGTGTAGAGAAAGAACAGATAATAATTGCATAAAAGTTAAGTTTTGAGTTAAGGTAGAAGAGTACTTTAGGCTAATGGTCAGCATATTGGTGGGGAAGTGGTGTGGATCCATTCCCTTCATTTCCAGTTTCCCAGTAACCTTTGTCCTCATGGGTAGAAACTCCTGGTAACTTTGAAAACACATTAATGTGTCTACATGGGGTCAATTATTCTCAATTCCTCACCTGCCTCCTAAGCCCTCATCAATGAACACATCATCTTCCCAGCTGGGAGCTGATGGGCTGCCCAAGGGACAGGCTGGCTCTTGGGGTAGGGGGGTTGTCTCCTGCCAGTACAGGATCAGTTGTGAGGAACTCTCACAAAGTGGGGCTGCCTTACTTCCATCATCATCTAATAAGTTAAAGTCAGTAGCAGGCTCTGATCCCCAGACTCAATATATGGGCTCAGTGAGTCTGGCTTTGTCCTTGTTGAAATAGCTTTGCCATCAAGCTGTGTGCTTTGCTGGAAGTGGTTTGCTTAAGAATATCTCAAGCAATTTTGAAGGAGGACATTCCCTTGTGTGTGACTATCATCAGGTAATACTCAGATTTCTGGAAATTGTTAACTACTGGTACATATTTGAGAAGGAAGAGAATGTCCAAGACAACTTCCTACCTACAGGCTGGTTTTCCAGGACATGAATTCCAGTAAGTTAGAAAAGGATATTTATATGAGGCTCTAGAAGATCCGTCTGCTCCTGTAGGTACCCCACGGTTCAGCATTTCTCAAAGCGTGGTCTAGAAACCACCTGTTTAACAATCACCAGATTTGGGGGCCCAGCTCTAGATCTATTGGATCAAGTTTTCCATGGTTGGGACCTGAAATCTGCACATCTCACAAATTTCTCCAATGAACCTTGGGCAGGGCACCCTAGTGGTTAAGAACCACTGTTTATGATCACTGTCATTCAAAGAGACTCACTGTTTTCTCTGGCTGCCTGCTCACCACACGTGCTCCCACTCTATCCCAGGGAGGAAGGTGAAGAGGCAGGCATGAACAAAGTCTCTTGCCTACTTCTCCCTCATCCACAGGTCTCAGGCATCTGCTCTTACTCCTAGACATCCCACTCCCTAATCCATTTCCATATGATAAGACCACCCTTAAGTTTTCTTCCTAGTTTTCATTCACAGGTATAAAGTGCAGCCAGAAGAAATTGTGGTTATTCTAGTGTCCTTTGGAGAACTGTCAAGAGATGTCTGTTTCTCCACAATCCCTTGCCTGATGGATTCTCTATATTCTGAAAAAAAATTCTAATTTAGTGCAGATTGGAGAAGAAAGATGAGAGAGGAAAAGGGAAGAAAAAGGAGAGAGTGGATTTAAAACAAGTAATAAGCCTGGAGGCTCTGCTTAGCTATCCACTGTATTGCCCACCACTGTCCCCTATCCCATCCCACCTGCTCACCCCATCTGCACTAGGCTGAGCCCTGGCCCATTTCGACTTCTGCTTTTGTCCATTCTTTTACTCAGATGGATACTTGCAGACACTTTACCCACACTGAAACAGTCTCAAGAAGTTCTACTCCATTCTTAACAACCATTTTTCAACTTCCTTGAAGTTCCTGTAAATTATTCCATCCTGGAAGCTCTGTAGTCATGTATCTGTAGTCCTTGTGATTTGCCTTCAAGCTGAGTTGCTTTTGACACCAATGGGGCCAGTGACACTGGCAACCCAAATCTAGGGCTGCCAACACCCCCATAATATTGGGGCTTATTATAAACCATCAGCTGTTGGGTTAAGAATGGTTGCGTGTTACTTCTCAGTGACATCCAATAAGTCAGAGTTGTGCTCCAAGTGCTCTAAAAGAAGTTACCAATATTCTGTGTTCAGATTTGTCCTCTTATATTTAACTGGAGTCTCAACATTATTAGGGCATGTTACCTCTTTGGGCATTACAATGCTTTCTTCCTGTCACTATCCACAATGTTCTATCAACAGCCACAGAGCCTTTGTTACCTATTTGACAGCCAAATTTAGTTATCCATACATCCAGAGTTTTTTCTTGCCCTGGAAGTTTGTTGATTCTGGAAACTCTGCCATTGGGATGAACCAGAATCTTTGCCTGCTCAGCACAGCTCTCTGGACTCCTACTAGTATCTTCCCCAGCTGTGTTACTCACTTACTGTCCCCTGAGCAGAGGGGGGAGCTCAAATTTGCTTTTTTTCCACCCTATCCAATCACACCTGCTGGCTTCAAAACCTTAGCAACTAAGGGTTCTCACCAAAGAGCACAGAGGACTTAACTGACTCCAGAATCCAGAAGTGATTCAGGACCATGGGTGGCAGAGTGGCCAATGGCACAGAGGAAAGTGTGGTGTTTAGGTGATTCCTCCACAGCCTCGCTCCTTCTCTGAATGGCAAAGGCATTTTTAAAAAGTCTCAGTCCTGGGGAGGATCTGTTCCTTCTCCTTTAGCCCCGGTGGCCCTTGAGTCCAAGGTGATTCTGTTCACTGGAAATGGCGGGGGCCTTTGTGGAGCACAGGTGGTACTTCCTCCTTATCTAATGCTCACAAGTGCAAGGTCTCAATTCACACTTTACAGCTTTATGCAACCCCCATCATGCCACATCCCTAATCCCTATCACCTTTAGAACCCATAGTAGTGCTTGGCATGTAATAAGGTCACAGAGGCAATTTTATGGCTGAACCAGTGAGCCATCTTTAACTCCTCTAGAGCATTCAGGATCCTCTGGGGGCTTGTTCAGTCACTTTTGCTTAGTACATGTGTCTCTGCCTATATTGTTTGGTGGTTAGACTGCTTGCCAAATGTTGTCACCATTTCATATTGTTTATCATATTCAGTTATGTGGTAGGTCTATCTCCCCTTGAGAATAATCAAAGCCAACATTCTTTGAGCTTCCTCAGTGTGCCAGGCTTTGTTCCAGTGCTTTACATGAATTCACTCACTGAATTTTTACAACAATCTTTTGAGATTAATGCTATTATCCCTATTTTACACATGAGGATACAAATTCAGAGGTTAGGTATCATTCTCAAGGTTACGCAGCTAGACACTGGTGAGGTCTCAGTCTGACACCAGAGCCTGTGTGCTTAAACACAAATATACTGTCTCTGGAAAATAAGCTTCCTGAAATCAGACACTCTTGAATTACGAACAGGGAGAACCCAGAGCTAAACATATGGAAGGTTGTCAATGAATATTTGGTAAGTAACTGTCACATTATTTGGAATTGTTTAAGATGGCTCAGATTGTGTATGTTCCTTTCCTTTTTCCCTTTGCTGCTCAAGAAATGCTTACTAACCAACCAACCAGGTAGAGAAGAACTTCTCTGTCACAGAGCTCCATCGAAGAGCCAGATTTGCTTGGTGAGACCACTCCTCAGAAGGCTGTCTTGAGAGCAGAACCACACCCACTGGAAGCCCCTGGCTGTCCCACCTCCTCTCTGGTGGTGCCCTCTGTCCACACCCCAGAGCACTGAAGCAATATGGGAAGGGTAAATCTGAGCAAAGGGATTGAGTTTGAGTTCTTGGGCCTCACCGGTGACCCCCAGCTCCAGATACCGCTCTTCATGGTGTTCCTCTGTTGGGGAATCTTATCATGTTTCTTCTGGTCCATGGGAGTGCCACCCTGCACACAGCCATCCATTCCTTCTGAAGAGCCCCTCCTTCTTGGATTTCTGCTACTCCTCCACGGTTGTCCCCCAGACCCTGGTGAACTTCTTGGCCAAGATGAAGGTGATCTCCTATCCTGGGTGCATGGCTCAGATGTTCTTCTATGCAGGTTTCGCCACCAGTGAGTACTATCTCATTGCTGCCATCGCCTATGACCGATATGTCACGATCTGTAGCCCGCTGTCCTACCCAATCACCATGTCTCCTGAGACCTGTACCTCTCTGATTATGGACTCCTACGGAGCAGGATTTCTTAATTCTCTTGTCCACAGAAGCTGTATCTTCAGTCTGAAGTTCTGTGGCGCTCACATAGTCACTCACTTCTTCTGTGATGGGCCACCCATCTTGTCTCTGTCTTGTGTGGACACCTCACTGTGTGAGATTCTGCTCTTCATTTTTGCTGGTTTCAACCTTCTGAGCTGCACCCTCACCATCTTCATCTCCTACTTCTTAATTCTCATCACCATCCTGAGAATGAATTCATCCCAGGGCAGGTTCAAGGTCTTTTCTACTTGTGCTTCCCACCTCACTGCTCTGTGCCTCCTTTACGGAACAACTCTTTTTATGTACCTGCACCCCAGGTCCAGCTGTGCCCTGACCCAAGACCGCACAGTTGCTGTGATTTATCCAGTGGTGATCCCAATACTGAACCTCCTTATCTACTCTTTGAGAAACAAGGATGTGAAGGAAGCCCTAAGAAAGGTTTGGGGCAGGAAAATCATGAAATGAGATTGTCAACTCATTACATCTTTAGAAAGCCAAAGGAACTTTACCTTACATGGTGCTGATCTGAGCACATTCCTATGCTCCTCCCCCATCCAGAGAACAGCAGGAATGCTCGCTGGTCTGCAGGCGCTTCTGCATCTATCTTACCTGCTGCAGAAAGAACTGGGGGTGTCGTAGAGACTAAAAAGAGGTGAGAAAGTAATGTCTTCTTGCTATAGACCAATTGGCAAGATGGACTTATGCCTTCCTTTAAATGCTTCATCCATATTTCTACGTTTGTGAATATTTTATTCTCTAATTAGAAACTGACATTTATATTCTCCATAACAAAGTCGTTTCCTTAACTAACTTGAAGACCTTGGCTGCTTGGGGAAATCCTCTCCATTCTTTACTAACCCGTTTTTGCGAAAACTCATTCCTTGATTTTCTAATTATTTGAGTGATCATGTAACTACTTCAAAGTTCACATGTTTTATTGTCTTTGCTGACTTATTCTCTTGGCCAAATATCCCCTTGGCCACTTTCAAACTGGATAAACTTGGGAAAGTCATGAATATTTTTAAATTGGTATCAGTGTTAAGTATTCAATCAGGTATTGCAGGTAAATTGCTGAGCATATAACAGGCATTCATGTGCTCCTTCACCTTTTCCTGTACACCAGCCCTGCCCTAAGTTCTTCTCACAAAGTGAGAGAGTAGGACATGTTCACCTTTCTTAAAGGCGTGTTGTCCTTGGTAGTGTTCTGCTCGTGGTAACTTATAAATTGTGATTTATTTAGCTTTAAATATTTTTAAATAAGAAGAATCAGAGCAAGGGGGCTCAATCAAGCAGGATATTCCTGGGCTCTCTGTACTCACTGATAAACTGGAAGAAAATAAACCAAGCAAGCTTGGCTAGTTCCTTCTGCTGGGGAGGCCTGCCCATCCCAGAACATCCATGGCTGAATCAGCAGTCTGCCAAACTCTCAGTTTATTTTCATAAAGACCATTTCCCATGGACACAATCCATGTACTCTAACCTCGTCTTTAACAGCAGTACAGTTAATACTTTGCTTCCTATCTGATTCTATTTTATCCCTTTTCTAAACTGTTCAGAAACAAGAGGGGGAAGAATGGTTCTCACACACTCTCACAAAGATCCTGATGCTGAACTTGTTTCTGAATAGGAATTTTTCCCTTTATTTTAAAATTGAACATTTGTCTTTAATAATTAATGTTGATTATATGTAAGTATAGTGATTTCCTTTTAGTGCTCATCAAGATTTTATTAGAGGCAGTGTAGTATAGCTGATAAGGATGTGGGCTCTAGAGTTTCAAATCCTACCTCCATCATTTAGCCTGAGTTTCAGTTTTTTAAAAATAAAATAAGAATAACAACTGTTGCAATGCAGCTATTGTTAGGAGAACTGAGTTAATACAAGCAAAGCACATAGAATGATACTTGGCACATAGCAAGCTTGTAATAAACATTAGCTGTTATTAGAAATTGCTGCTGACTTGTCAAATGCTTTTTCAACAACACGACATAATTACATGATCTTTCACCTTTATTTTGTTCCTGTGGTGAATGGAAGACATAGGTTTGCTAATGATAATCTGTTTTTGTTTCCATGAAATGATTTTTGTATGATAGACTGCTGGATTTGATTTGCAAGGGTTTTATTTAGATTCTTGGCATCTATAAGATAAAGTTTATCTATTATCTTTTTGTATTATCTTTATTATGTTTTAGTGTTAAGGGTGAACTAGTTTTATAAAACATATTAAAATTCTCTCTTTGGCGGTGAGGAGGAAGATGGCAGAACAGGAGGTCAGTGTGATAACCTCCTCCCACGTACACACTGGGGAAGCAACTACTCTAAGAAACTAACTCTGAAAATGATGCAGACCAACAGAACAAACCTTCCGCATCTGGCAAAAAAGAGAAGACCACGCTGAGAAGGGTAAAGGGACAGAGCAGCAGTTGATAAGGATCCAAGCCCTTCTACTACCCCAACCCACAAGAAGGAGAGAGGAAATGAGGTGGGAGGGGACAAATACCTAGGAATCCAGCACACCTGGCCCTGGGGATCTGCTCTGGGAAGGTGAGTCTCCCCATAGCATTGGGCATTGAAGATTAATGGGCTTGGACACCAGGGAGAGCTGGAGAGCTGTGGGGGTGCTGCATCTCTGCTCACAGAGGACTGATGTGCTCTGTCAATTGTTCTGAGACACAACACAGAAAAAACAGTTTGAAAGGATACTTACTAACTTTGGAAAATGTGCCAGAAGTGGTGGGATATAACAGAGATCTCTCGATGAGAAAGGGCTGGTGGACACCACTTTTCCAGCCCTTCCTCAACCCAGCTGGTAAGACTGCAGGAGCCAGTTCTGAAACTCTCCATCTACCCTGCTTGCCCTGTCCTGGCATTCCTGTGCAGACTTGCCCCACCCAACAACCCCAGCCCAGCAATAGTTACATTGTCCATTGCTACCAGCCAGGGTGAGTGTGGGCCCCACCTACAGTGCATCCAAATAGAGCAGCCCAGTGGGTTATTAACTTGTATCAGATTCACACACCAAAGCAGAGCAGTGGAGATCAGCCATTTCTGGCAGCTAGGCTGAGGTGTGCCCACCCACAGTGGTCATCACTCAGCCACAATAGGAGGGTGTGTGCAACTCATAAAGGAGATAACCCTGGGGTACTTGGCTCTGCAGAACAGGGGGTTTTGTGCTTCTGGGCACCACAGGACACCTACTATGTAAAGCCATTACATTCAAGACCAGGAGACATAACTGACCTATGTAATATGAAGAACCAGACCAAATGAGGAGACAGAGGAATATATTTCAAAGAAAATAACAAGACAAAACACCAGAAAAGTGCTAAATGAAATGAAGTTAAACAATATACCTGACAGAAAATTCAAAGTAATGTTCATAAAGATGCTGACTGAACTAGGGAAAAGAATAGACCATCTCAAGGAAGACTTCAAAGAGATAGAAAATATAAAAAAAGAACCAGTCAGAGCTGAAGAATACAGCAACTGGAATGAAAAATACAATAGAGTGAATGAATAGTAGATTAGAGGATGCAGAATCAGGGAGATAAAAAGTAACCATGCTGAGGAACAGAGAAAAAAGAATTTCTGAAAATGAGAATATGCTAAGAGAGCTCTGTGACATCTCCAAGTGAAACAACATTTGCACAATAGGGGCCCCAGAAGGAGGAGAAAGAGAGAAAAATCTATGTGAAGAGGGGTAGAAAAATCTATGTGAATAAATAATAGCTGAAAACCTTTTGTGAATAAAACAGACATTCAGGACCTGGAAGTGCAGAGAGCCCCTAAAAGGATAAATCCAAGGAAGAAAATACTAAAACAAGTAATTAAAATAGCAAATAATAAAGTGAGAATCTTAGAAGCAGCAAGAGAAAGGCACACAGTTATCTATAATATTTCTCAGCAGAAATTTTAAAGTCCAGGAAAGAGTGGCATGAAATATCCAAAGTGCTGGAAGGGAAAAATCTACAACCAAGAATACCCTACCCAGCAAGGTTATCACTCAGAATTGAAGGAGAGAGAAAATTTTCCAGATAAAAAAGTATTGAGAGGATTCAAGATGACGGTGTGAGAGGTGAGACAGAGAACTTCTCCTGAAATCACAAATAGTACAAAAATATAGTTAATTATACAACTAACTCTAAAACAGCAAAAGGAAAGAAGGCTGAACCAGACTGCATACAGACCTCGTGAACAGAGCAGACCTCACTCATGAAACAGGGTAACGTACCAAAGCCTTGATGCAGTGGGACCAAAGCCCTTCCCCCACCTCAGCTTACCAGCAGGAGGAAGAGAAACAGAGCAGGGAGGGGGTGGACTCCTGGGACTGCTGAACACCCAGCCCTGGATATCTGCTTTGTGAAGAGAAACCTACATTGCGTGGTGCTCTGGAGGTTGGGGAGCTGGGACAGTTGGAGTGTTTGAGAGACTGACATTCTGGCCATTTGTGGAGGACGGGATTCACATCCGGCTGCTCTGGGACAAGAGAAAGGTGGGCAGTCTGAGAGGCTTCCTAGCAGCGAGAGGGCTGCTGAAGAGGCGGGGTTTGCATGGAGCTTGCTGTGGGGGAAAAGGGAAAGCTGGACAAAGTTTTCTGAGTGCACTCTGCCCAGCAGGTTGGGAACTTTGAGGAGCTTCAAGTGCTCCACCCCCATGGCTGGCTGCTCAGCTCTGAGACCCTGCACTGTAATTCACAGCGTGCCGAGCCTTCCTCCTGGCCTGAAAGCACTGTTCTCAAACCGGCAGTCACTGCACTGGTGTCAGGTGAGCCAGAGGGAGGCTCTGCCTACAACAGCTAGAGATGCCGAGCACAGAGGCTTACACCTGTGTGCTCGGCCCAATGGCTCTGATACTGGAGATAGGCACCACACACGGGAATCAGGAAACAGATCTTTCCTCCCCCTAGGCACCAGCGCTGCTCCTCTAACCCCCAACCTCACTCTAGGGGCTGAGCAGCTCCATAGAGTGGAGCTTCTGGGCACTAGAGGGCACCACATAGAAATATGAAGCGTCAAAATAACCTGGTTCAGACCAAAATCTCACACACCCCAGAAAAAGGGCCAAATGAAACTGAACTCACCAATCTTCATACAAATCATAAACATGCTTATGGAAGTACAGAAAAATACTCAAAAACTCAGGAATGAATTTAAGATGGAGATTCAATCATTAAGAAATTCCATATCTGAAATGAAACATACAATGGAGGGATTTAAAAGCAGATTAGATGTAGTAGAAGAGACTGTAAATAGAATAGAAATTAGAGAAGAGGAATACAAAGAAGCTGAGGCACAGAGAGAAAAAAGGATCTCTAATAATGAAAGAATATTGAGAGAACTGTGTGACCAATCCAAACAGAACACTATTCGCATTATAGGGGTACCAGAAGAAGAGGAGAGAGAAAAAGGGATAAAAAGTGTCATAGAGGAGGTAATTACTGAAAAATTCCCCAATCTGGAGAAGT